AGGATAATAAAAAGCCAAATTAGATGGTCATTCATATGCAGTTAATTCAATTTGTTACTCTCCTGATGGTACTACATTAGCATCTGGTAGTGGATCTTACTTGGGTGGTGGAGATTGTTCTATCCGTTTATGGGATGTTAAGACAGGATAATAAAAAGCCAAATTAGATGGTCATTTGAAAGCAGTTTATTCAATTTGTTACTCTCCTGATGGTACTACATTAGCATCTGGTAGTTCAGATCAGTCTATCCGTTTATGGGATGTTAAGACAGGATAAGAAATAGCCAAATTAGATGGTCATTCAAATGATGTTAATTCAATTTGTTACTCTCCTGATGGTACTACATTAGCATCTGGTAGTGTAGATAAGTCTATCCGTTTATGGGATTTTAAGACAGGATAATAAAAAGTCAAATTGGATAGTCATTCATCAACAGTTTACTCAGTCAATTACTCCCCTGATGGAAATACATTAGCTTCTGGTAGTGATGATAACTCTATTCGTCTTTGGAATGTAAAAACATCAAAGGAAATACTCCAATCAGATAGTAGCTATAAAGATATGCTTGCCTAATTTTACATACCTCTTCAGAATAGCTCCTTATTGCCAAATTGTATTTATTATTAATTATTATTTAGTTAATCCTTATTGTACTATACTTAAAATATGTTAGATTCCTTTGTTAGAAGCATCAGAAACACTTATCCTATAAGGATAGTTCATTAATCATTAAGGGATAGATTTAAAACCTTTGTTTAAATCCAAAGGAAGTTGCTTCTTAGAAGACTTAAAGCAAAAGAAGTGAATTTGAGTATTTATTAAAAATATAACAATTATAATCATTTTCTTTATGTATTTTTGTTTCTATTTAAATATTTGGATAATATTGAGATGTTAGAAAAAACGTTTATAAATTCATATTTATAGACGAACAATACACTATTAAATTTATAATATAAACAGAGTAAACAGGTTTAGTCGTAATAAAGATTATTAATAGTTTAGTAAAATTTAGATCTTTAGTTTATAAAAAGGTAATGATACAATTAATAACAAAGATAAGAGGAAAGATCCATTTCAAAAATTAAATAAATCCTTAATCTTAGAATAATCTTAAAAGAAACAAAGTTAAAACATTGGGGTTGAATGATTTTTAAAATTACTCTGCTCTAATCTTGGTAATATTCTCGTAACCTGTTAATTATTATTTTTAATTGATATTCAAAGTATTAGAGAGAATAAAGGACAGAAAAGATATATTAATCATCAATAAATATTCCAACTCCTAATAGGATTTAGAGATCTTAATTATATCCATCCCTAACAATAATCTTAAATAAGCTCTATATGAATTACATCCAAAGTAGCTACTTTCAATAATAATTTTGCATATAAGGAACAGTTATTAATCATTAAGATAAAAACTATGTAATCTTACCTCAAGCTGATTTTTTTAGAAATTAATTTATATCTACACAACGATAATATCAGTCAACCAGTTCAATTTTATTAATTGATTATGAAATTACCTAAGATTGGATTTCATAAACATAATGGATAATTTATAAAAATAACAAAATTAATCTTCTTGAGTTAAACCCTATTTGACAATAAATTTTTAGAATTAATTAAATTTATTGATATTACATAAATGTATTATTTTCTACTACTTGTGAATGTAAAAACCAAATTCACAAGTTTTTGGAAAAAGTTTCTACAAAAAGTAACAAAAAGGATATCTTTCTATTTTAATAAATTTTTTTATATCCATTTGGTGAAGAATTATTGAATATCCTGTTTTGACAAGGCAGAAATGTTATCTTCAAATAATCGTTATAAAGATAACCCTTCAACGATTTAATATTATATTCTTCCAGAAGGTTGTATTTCCTTTCTCTATTCTTAGCTCTCTCCCATACAATCATTCTAAAAATTTCCTACAATTCCAATTTAGAAGCTTAAGGTGCTTGAATCTTGAAAGGAGAGTTTGTTGATTATAAAGGATATGATTTTCGATTATTATTTAAATCTAAAGGTAGTGTAATTTTAGAGAATTAACTAAATTAGAAACAATATTGATTTTTATTAAAAAGCAATTAAATATACAATATAATTAATTTTGTTGTCAGTAATCTTTACTTAGTTAAATGGTTATAATAATTATTGTATTATTTGTATGTAGAAAATCAGTATTGAAAATTTCTCAACTGAGAAAGAGATATCTGATTTTCAGAAAATTCAGATATTAAAATATTCTATACACAATTATCAGGCAAATGTAAATCTTACTTAAAGTGAGTCGCTTAAACTTCAACTATGACATGATTATTGAAAACTAAAAGTTGATCTTTATAGTGTTCAAAACAATGAAATTTAATCTCTAACTCTTCTTTTAAGCAAAATTATAATTTAAAGAAATTGAAACCAAATTTACATTCAACATATTTAAAAAAAAAAAAAAGAATAAATTTAATTTTCCTAGTTATAATTAAAGGCTATTATTATAGGGCAAACAAAAACATAAAAAAGCTAATACATTCCACTATCTTATTCTGAGGCATAGAGCATGTTTGCCATTTTTTATATAAAATGTACCAATACATTTGGTTCTGAGAAAATTATAAATTAGAAAGTATACAAGTATACAAGTAGGGGGAAATTGTAAGTGCTTCCACAAATCCCGCAGTCTATAAATATATCTTCAAGTTTGTTGTAATGATTCAGCTACAGCTACCATTCTATGATATGCTTAATGAACTGATATTTTTAAAATGAAAGCTGTAATA